GGTCTGGGACTCGAGCAGCTGGGGAGTCATGTGACACAGCCATTACACTAACTGCTGGTCCCTGGTCAAAAAAACTCTTTAGTTTAATATTTTTAATCTCTCCATTTCTGTATAAATAAGGTATTTATGCACTGTTTCTAAAAGTAAAAGTTAACAATCAGCATTGGTCAATATATGAAAAGAACTGTATGCAATTATTTTCTTTTCGTTCCTTTTTTTCCTGGAGGGCATGTACACTCACCAGAGACAGAGAGGGAGAAAGTACCTAAGGGGAGGAGATGGTCACGCCACAACTCTTTCTCATCCTGTATCCTCTCAGGATATGGGGTACATAAGTACACCTACCCAAAATGTTTCTCAAGTCACCAGGTACAGGACTCAAACCATGCAATCAGCCACAGCAGATCTAGCTGCCACATCACTGGCTGGCCCCTGTAAGTGGTTTTTAATTAAAATATACTAAACTGGACCTTTGTTTACAAAAACACAGGTACACCTTTTTATTTTTAAGGTTTCTTCCATAAGGTATGAGCACTCATTGGAGAGAAAGAGAGGGAAAGTGAGATCACCCTCCTGGGAAGGATGGCCACACTGCAAAGCCTTCTCCTCCATTCTCCCCTTGGGAATTTGGGCACGCTCACATATGCACCTGGCATGACTGCACGTGCACCTGGCATGATTTTCAAGGTGCTGGATTCACGATTTAAACTGGGGTTGGCCAAGTTGGCCAACACCTTAAACACCATACCACCTGCCTGCCCTTATAAATCATGCTTTCTTACTATTAACTTTTTTCAAAAAAAATTTTTTTTTCATTTTTAATGTATTTATTTGCTGTGATCTTTAGTAAGTTTTTTTAATTGCTAGACTGTGCATTTGTTTCCCACAGAGAGGGACAGAGAAAAGGAGAGGGATAAAATACCCCACGATGGGATATGGTCATGTTGCAATCCCTTCTCCATTTCTCCATCCTGCTGAGATTTGGGACATGCATACACAGGAGTCCGGTGTGTTTTCCAGCCACTGAGGCTGGGATCCAAACCACCGTCCAGTCCATAGTTCCCACCATGTAGGATCTTCCTCATTTAATCACTAGGCCTTTAGCATGGCCTTCTGATGGAACGTTAATTCACTATCGGGCATGTGCACCTGTCATAGAAAGAGATGCAAAGTGGAAAGCATACCTCAGGGAGATGACCATGCTGCAATTCCTTCTCTACTTTTCTCTGAATATTGGGCACGCACACTCACGGGCAAGTATGTTTTTCTAGCCTCCAGGACCAAGACTCAAACCATGCAGTCAGCCATGTGGGATCTAGCCACCTTAACAACCATATTATCTGGGGGAAAACCTGCCACTGTGCTGACCATGTTCTGCCGGATAAGGTGCCCCTGAAGAAAGAATGTTCCTATGGCAGCTATGTTTATGGGGTGTCTTGGTGTTCTAAATAAAGTGAGTAAAGCTTGTGGTTTTCTTCTACATTCTTGTGGTCAGCCTAGCACTCCTGGATAAATTTTAGAATTTTTTATCCCTTTTTTCATGAAAAGAAAACATACTGTAATTTTAATGGGATATTTGAATCAGTGACAGATAACTAGAGCCTCTCAATGCTTTGTGACATTATTTAAATCCCAGATCTCATAAAGGACCATGCTAAAGTGTACTCACAAAAGAGATGATATGCAATAACCAAGACTACCTGTGTGAACCTTGACGCCTTGAAACCAATACTTCCTAATATCCAGGTAAAGAATAAAAGAAGTGTATTGAATACACACACACACACACACACACACACACACACACACACACATTTGGCTGGCCCATTTAATGGGAAAAAAAAAAAAAGTTTCTTTATAGGGAATGTGCACTCCCCAGGAAGAGGGAGCGGGGCAAGGGAGAGAAAATGAGAAGCTACCACACAGGGGATAGGGCCACACCATAACCCCTTCTCCATTCTCCCATTGTCTTGAGATTTGAAGTGCACGCACACACACACACCTCATATGATTTTTAAGCTATCGGATACTAGACTCAAACTCCAGTCAGCTACATGGGAATTCAGAGCCTTAACCAAAACGCAACCTGATAGTTCAATCCAATAGAATTTTTTTAAACATATTTTTGAGTGTTTTTGTTTTCTTTTGGCAAAGGGTACTGCACTCGTAAGAGACAGAGGAGGAGAAAGCCCACCTCAATGAGGTGTGGTCACACCATAATCCCTTCTCCTTCATTTCCCCCATCTTGTCAGGATTTTGAGCATGCACACATATACAATGTGTTTCTCAAATAGCCAGGGCTGGGATCTGAACTGCACAGCCAGCCACGTGTGATCTAGCTCTGTTAACCACTAAGCCTCACTGCCACAATTTTCTTTTCTCATGGTAAGAGTGCATGGGCATGCTTGAGTATACGGATGAAAGAGAGGGTTAGGATGACAGAAAGGTGCACCCTTCATA